CGCTGTGCTCAGAAAACGGAGTTCTTTCAGATGATATATAAAAACCGATATATTTTTCAAAATTAAAGAACCCAATTGACTCTCATATAAACCTTAGTCCAAATCTGATTCGTTTTTTTGTCAATGACAAAGATTCACCTGCCCAACTAACATTTTCAGCTTTATGGGCCAAGCGTTGTGCTGTAAAGTAACTGAGAAAAGCTGCAGATACAGCTACAATCAAAAGTTAGCTAAATAGTTTTGGAGAGCGTTTACCCAGCTTTTTCACAACCATTATTCAATTTGTCAGTCGCATTGAATAACAGCCATCACTAAACGCTAATGTTACTTCTATGCACATATTAATCAACTTTCAACTTGTAGCTGCAAAACAAAGTTAATAAAGTGAATATATTACTCATTTGATTGCTTCTACACAACATTTAAACAACCTGTTCTTACTAAGCTAATAAACTTTGTTAGCGCTTCTTTGAAAGCATGTTTACAGTCAACTAGGTTTATTTTTAGACGTTTTCAGTTTTACAGCTTTTACTCCGCTCTTTTACAAAGCTGAATTAACAAGTCGAGAAAAGAGATTCATGTGCACTATTATAAACCCTTTACTCGGCAATCTTGTTGTAGAAGGGCATATAGATTATTTTACGTCAGCTCAATGTGTTGGCGTAGCTAAGTTGGTAGTGTCGAGGTATGCCAATGCGATCGTCTCAAGTTCGAGTCCAGGTTCCGGTTCAGGGTAATAATTTGGTGGTGTGCTTTATAACTAATTTAGATTAATTTAATTCGCAGCAAAATCAAATTAATAAATTCCTTCAACAAAATATTTAATCAATATTTAACCCGGCTTCAAGATAAAGCTGTGTCGTGATTATTTGAAAATCGAGAAAAGGTTGAATAAGCGCCTTTCAAGTTCACACACAACTAAATCGCAGAATGACAGCTGTATGTATAGAAGCGTAAAAGGATATGCAATAAGAGCTTGTCACAACCGTCCCAACAGCCATAAGTAGCTGACTAAGTTCGCCAGATTTGGTTGTATAAAGGTTGAGTAAAGGTTGCCTCATATCGTAAAACATTTGACTACAGCATGAGGCTGTATAATTGGAAATTGTTGGTTGGTGGTGGTAACTAAAAGTTTAATATCGTGCATTCTGAATCAAATCAGGCATAACATTTGATAACGGCACAAAAGCATTTGTAAACAAACTTTCTAATGCCCTTTACACGCGAACCAAAGTACGCCCACACAAACCAATATCACTTTCGGAAAGGTGATAGTTGCCCCTATCCGATGATGCAGTTACTTTGCGTGGGCGTACTTTGGTTCGCGTGTAAAGGGCTTCAGAAAGTTTGTTTACAAATGCTTTTGTGCTGTTATCAAATGTTATGCCTGAAATTATCGTTATCTAGGTAGTAGAACATAGATGCTTGAAAACTTTAGATTTATTTTCCTTGGTTAATGTTATTTCGCTTCAAATGTATGGAAAAACAATAAAACTACCATTAGTGCCTACTAATAAATTAAAATATCATCTATCAATTCGTAACAACATATAACCAACAGGTGATAACAGTTTTTGACGTGTGACAAATAGTCACGCATGTTCAAAACAACTCGCAGATAGTGTCTTTCTGAAATTTAAATTTAAAATATTCCCATTAGGAACATATAATCTGGGCTGCATCCACTCACATGGTATAAAATAGCTATTTATGCAACAAGTTGCAAAAAGAAGATTTTTTCAACACGAGTCGTAGTTTATCCAACAAGGCTTGCCAAGCCGGATAATCACGACCAGTGTGTCAATATCGAATTTTGCATCGAGTTGCACTTGATGCTGAAAAGTAGTACTTTTCGACACTGTTATTTTAGTTATGAAAAGTATGCCACTATGTCATTCAAAACAGTGTCGAAAAGTGACACTTTTTAGTAAAGTATGTTAGAAAATCATTTTCGGAATGATGAAACCGTTAGATGATATAATGATATTTTGTACTTGTAAGTTAAAAGAAGGTGTTGTAAAGAGTAAGTTTGACTCATAAACCTGTTAATTTTGCTTTCAGTGTGTCACAATCAGCTATTTTTTTTATTTGAAAGCAATATTTACAGGTTTTATGTGTCAAATACATAATTTACAACCGCTTCTTGTACCGCACAAGCACTAATTATCATTATCTAATGATTTCATTAATCTTTTGAGATTTACCGATGTAAACAGATTTTTTATATTTAAACATATTAGTATCCACAACAGAGTACAATACAACCAAGTCAAGAGTCGTGATCAACATTTCTGCCAAATCAGCAACCAGCTTGAGAAGCATACGAAAATAAAGGTGATTGAATTTCTAGTTGATTACAATGCTCTCAAATATGATCTAGTAAGAATAAGAAATCATCGGCAAAAATCGAATGAGAATGATTTTGACAGTTCATTTGGCTCACAACACTCTCCGCTCATATCTTCCCCTGAGGATTTCTAGCCGGCGCCGGTGGTTTACTAGTAAGCGTGACTGCATTTTCACCCCAATGGGTCTGGGTTAAATCCCAGCCGAGGTCGGTGGGATTTTTCTGTGGTATACCAATTTCTGGTCACGTCTTCCTTCGGAAGGGAAGTAAAGCCGTTGGTCCTGACCCATGTGTGTTGAATGGGTGCTATATCCTACACAGGTGTGGAAGCTGCCTTCCTGCACATTCGATTGCCGTCAATGGATGGCAATCGATGTCCGTCGGTGATTGATACTAGATTGCGGAACAGAGACCGACGTTCAATAAAGAAAAGAAGAAGAAGGAGATTTCTAGTTGAAACTCGCTGGACGAACTACTACTTAAAGAGAGGTGAATCTTTGCTATGGAAGTGCGAATCAACCCAGTACCCTGTAACATATTCCATATGAGGAAGATCAACCGTCACTAGAAATCGATCGCTCCTCATCATCAACACACTTGACCTATTATGGTATCCAAAAAACGATGATTTTGAATTCAAATTTCCTAATCTTCCAAAACCGCAATCTCAAGCTCATTGTTCTGTCATAGATTAAACTACTTTTCCTCCATTTAGACTTTATCTGTTTACCCACGTAACCACCAAACCTGTTAATAGTCCTATAAGGGCTCTTTTTGCAATATGAAGCTGATATACGGCAATACATTTTTATATTAGCCTGATATCAGTCTATATATCAGCATTATTTGCTCTTTCTGCATTAGTGGACTTGGTGGCTACTTAGGTTGGGTAGTAGCGCCAACAAGTTTGTTCACTGGGCTTTTTTCTAGAGCAACTGAGCTAGACTCCAAGAGGGCCACACTCTTGGTAGCTGGCTAGCGCTATCACGAGGCACTTTGACCAGTCGCTTTCCGATTCGGTTGCCTGCTGACCATCATAATCCATTCATCTCGTCAGGATCAATGGATTATCGCCCTACCACTTAGATGATCTTTACATGGTCCTCGCTCAGACGGAAAGCATCACGAATTCACGACCATTAACTGCACTTTCCAATCATCCTGGATTTTTCTCCGTGCTGAATCTTGCACAATTTCTGCGAACCAGTCTTTTGGCTTTCCGAACCAAACCAGTCAAGCATTCTGATTAATCGCCAATCACACTTACAGGCGTATTTAGAATTTAGAATAGCGAACATGGACAACAGCTTTTAGTAAAATTCAGGAACTTTTTGTTTGTACAATGTTATTGTGGAATTTTGCACGAAAAGTTAAAAAATGTTATAAGTGTCCAACTTGAAAATACACAGAAGCTAGCATCTTATAGTACGTTCAGACTAAAGAGTTATAACATGTTATAGCGCTATCTTGATTGTGGTTTCTGTGTTGCAATTATTTGACAACCGTTACAACATGTTATAACTCTCCAGATGGTACACCGTTTTAAGCTTTTTAATTAAAAATGTTCAACAAGAAGGTAATTTTTTTTTTTGTTAATAATCACTCTTTTTGATTTTTTACCTAAACTTATTGGAATGTTTTTAACATGTATTCTTTTCCTGACAAGGAATTATTTTTTCCTACAACTTTGTCTCAGACGTCATTTCTATTGGAAGTAACGTTTTCGAGTAATGAAAAAATCAAACACGTTATTTTGAATTTTTTGCATGATTCAAAATGGCTGAAATTTAGCTCAAATGTGAATTGTTGACCATAACAAACAATTATGCAAAGTGTCAAGTCAAGTCCCCTAGATGGCACAACAAAAGAACCAACCCAGCTCGACCGGAAAAGAACATCTGTCTTTCAAGAGTATGAAGCGAGTAAAACCCAACTAATTATATTCTTTTTATTGATTTCTTTATTTATGGGGTGTTTACACATATGCTATTTCACTAGCGCTAATGAGCTAGCAACTAGCAAAAAAGCTCACTAGTATAATGTAAACAGGGCATCAGCGTCTACCAGCATGAAATTTTAGGAGTAACTGAAATTCGTGCTAGTTGGCGAGTACACTAGCGCGAGTAAATCCGCACAGATGTAAACACCCCATTAACATCGGTCTCTGTTCCGCAATCGAGTGCCAATCACCGGCGGACCCGGTGGACATCGATTGCCATCAATTGGCGGTAATCGAATGGCCAGGGGATCCAAGGCGGTTTCCATACTTGATAGATATCGCACCCATCAACAGCACATGGGCCGGAGATTTTTTCGACTCAGAAAAATCTCAACGACCTAGGCTGATATTGAACCAGACACACTGGGGTGAGAAGAAAGTAGCCACGCTTACCACTACACCACCGGCATATTTAAAGAACTGCCTAAAATTGCAACAAACAGGCATCACTGCCGGCAGGCGGAAAAAAAGACTCAATCTCGAGAGAGTCAAAGTCAAACCATATGCAATCAGACCCCACGCAGACGGTGTAATCATTTTTGAAAACACTGAACTTCACTCTCGCACCGATATATTTATCGCAAAGAGCCAGCAAAAGTGACATTCATCGGTGAAGTTCATCCAATCAGTCACGAAACAGTTTCCATCCGCGTACGTCGTCGTCTGTCGATCCTTGAACGAAGGGAACCAAATAACTTTCACCTGCTTTTCCCTCTTGTGTGATAAGTCGTCGGTCAGTTTGGTGGTTTCAAAATTGGAAATCGAAAGCTATTTTGTTGGTCTAGCCGTGATTGAATAATCGTTCAATTGTTATTGTAGAGAAATAAGATACCCAAATGGCTTTGTAGTTATTTGTGACCAAGTGACTGATGGGCAGTTTGACAGGTCAATGTTTTGGTAGTGTTTAAGTAGTGCTTGGTTTATTAACGAATTAATCCCATAATTTGACATCAAATGTACGCGAAAGTGTATTGTAATTGTTATTTTCTTTGTTGCAAATCCGAAGACACACTTTATCATTAAAAAGATTATCTTTTTTCCAGATAAACGTGACGCGATGGCTCGACGTACCATGACCTTTTTCCAGCTATATGCACATTCGAATTTTGTTCAAAAGAGCAAATCCAGGTGGAAATTTGATTCAAGAGTCGTCTAGTTGATGGTAAGTTTATTAAACAGTAAGATATTGTTGATTAGTTACCATTTTATTTTTGTTCCTCATACATTCATGATATTTTCATATTTTATGTAAATCTGTTCTTAACTGCATTTAGATTGGTTTTTGGCACTTAGATTGTATACTGCCTCAATATTGAGTTGACTTTAAACAGAAATATGAATCAAAACGCATACGGAAGCATGCAAATTTGGATCATTAATCCTACATTGGTATCGATATTTTCATACTTTTTTTTGTACAATGCTAACTCATTTTACCACTGGAAACAGAATAACACTCGAAATAAAACAATGTAAATTTAGCTTTTACATAAAAAAAACTTCAATTTGTTAATTTAATAATGGGATCGATCATTATCTCCCATTCAAGATCAGCTTTGATATTGACCTCATTTTGACAGGTTCGGTTGGCCAATCGTTCATGTGGTGACGTTATCTGTCAAAAATTCCCCGAAACAGTTCTATCCAACGCAGAAAGTTACAAAATGTTTAGATTTAGAAGCATGTATTTGAAATTGAATTGCATTTTCTCAATTTGTTGAAATCAGCTATCACCAGAATCAAACTGTCAGTAGCAAAACTGCCAGTAGATTTTGTTTTTGTTGCCACTTGTGTTTGATGCATTTTGCTCCCTATGGCCATTGGGAGTTCATTTGGTCTGTTGATTCACCGCATTCAGTCGATCAGCTGTGCAGCTAGACCGGTGTGGTGCGGCGTAATTACTTTCAGGGTGATACTGAACGATGGTGAAGAATCAAAACAAAGGAAGTGTTGCCATGGTGGCAAGAAAGTATAAGTTTTGTGTACCAAACAAAAAAAAAAGATTTTTAAACTACCCAAGTAACCATCAAGCCCAATAATGCGAAAAGTGCTATATAATGCTGATATAAGGCCGAGTTTAAAGCAATAAATCAGCCTTATATTACACTTTTCGCATTAGTGGGCTTGGGATCAGCCGGTCACGGTAGTCGAAACATTTTCTGTGATAATCGACTGTCTTTGCCTCCGACACTTGTATCATACACGAAACGAAAATTAATTACTTTATTCATGTGTTACACTTATACATTTCTGCCAAAACATCAGCTTTATACATTACATATGACAAACCACATACGTTCTATAAGAACGCATAGACGGTATGTGTGACCATTTATACATTTTATTTGACACATAATCTTCATTAAATTTTTGCAAAGCGTCTGCTTATTAGTTGACTTATGCGTTTTATGAATAATCAGCAATGGAAATTTGCCAAAAGGTATAAGGAGATTTATATCCGTGTAGTACCAAACTAAAATGTCATATGACAGGCTCTGTCATACGACACTGTCGCCGAAGACCGTCATGAATGTATGTATTTTAGTTTTTCTTATAAGAAGACCTGCTGATGTTGTGCTTGTGTGAATTCTGAAAATAGCAGGCAATGATGTCCTAGTTATAACTTTTCTGATCAGAAATGGTTTAATTTACATCAAATTGAAAATTTAGAATGTAATCAAACATGTGATATGAAAGTTATTTGATAATTTTCTTTTTGCTCGAATGTTATTCTACCGTTTCTGTTGTGTGAGAGAAACGACGGTAGAGCATGAGTTTACTAATACAAACACAGTTTGTCGCGCATGACAACGAAGCCAGTGTAGTAAAAAACGTCAACCGTTTCAATCCCTGCTTGTGATTCCCTGATTGTATGGCGTTTTGGGCGCTTGATAATGACTTCTTTCGTCAAACTATGTCGCAGGGGGGCCACTCAACCGGGAAAATCTCGATTCTAGATGCTCAACAAATCTCACACTAACGAATCCATCTTCGAAAAATCTTCTTTCATTTCTCGCATCTACTTGCATCGCACATCATCTTTTTACATGAAATCTTCAGAATCGTCATCAATCTTCTTTCTATCTATTCAGCGTGCGCGCAGCTAACCACAACAAAATACAATTTTTCCTGCATCGTAGATAGACTCGCCCCCTCGGAATTAACCGGGAATCGAAAAGAACTGGGAAAAGCCGGAAAATAACCGCTTTTTCAATATATTTTTGAATATATTTTGACCGAATTCTGTTAACTTCGGCGCCTCATCTTTTTTTCGAAGGCTTTCTGTTTTGAAGAGTTTTCGTAGGCCCTGATCTTCTTCTTTCTTCTTTCCTTTATTTAACGTCGGTCTTTGTTCCGCAATCTATTGCCAATCACCGGTGGACATCGATTGCCATCCATTGACGGCAATCGAATGTGCAGGAAGGCAGCTTCCACACCTGCGTAGGCCCTGATATTAATTTTTTTTTGCAAACATGACATTTTAACAACTGTGGAAGTTTCAAAATTTTGAAAGCTATTTTCCAAATCCTGAATCTTGAAATTCTGTTCCTGAGGCCTTAACATTTTTACGATGTTTGAATTATCTATGTAGATTAGCGGTTTTCAAACTTTCGTCGATTGCGACCCACAAAAATTCATCAACTGTCTGACTAATTGACTGAATTCCACAAAACAGCTTTTAAAACTTCAAAATTGCTTTAAAAAGCTGTAATAGCATCGACAGAATTGTGCCAAAATGCCAATTCAGTCCAAAACTTACCATAAAAAGCTTGAATGATCACAAAATGATAAAATAGTATCACAAATAATGTATAGTTTGCATCTCAAAACGATTAAATGCTATTAAAATCTTAAATATGAGTTACCTTGCAGTACTAAAATGATTTAAAAACGACAAAATTACCTTTAAAATGACAATTTAAATGTCTCAACCGACCATAGAAACGCAAACAACTGCTCTAAACCGCACAAATGGCCTAGAGATACTTGAAAATCGTTTTTTAAACATGGTCTTTATACTATCTAAAATTGTTTAAATACACCAAAATCGGCAAAGCAACCTAGAAATGCAAATAAAAAGCTTATAAACCGCTAAAATAATTTAAAACTAGCAAAACGATCTGCAAACACCCTTACCTTGCTGGAATTGAATGTTAAAATAGCCCTTAGCGTTAGCGTTGTTATGATATACTTCGTAGATTGGATACTAGCGACACTCACGTTTCTTCTGAAATTCTCAGTTAGACTACTTTCAGGAATAATGCTGGGGAGTAAACATTGGTTCCAATCTAAACAAGAGTAACAGAAGCATGACTGTCGCTATTCCCGGCCACGCCCATCTTTACCATAACTAGGGATAGGGAAGGAAATGTTGATGTAGTACTTACTTAACGAGAGGCCACCGACTTAGCGACACTCTCATAAGTGCTACGGAGTTGGAGGGTTGGGTAGGGTATTCGGTTAGGATTCACCTCAAGTTGGCGATGCAACCAAAAGTATGTATTGTTTATTTGTTGTTTATTTAATCTCTCGATAGCCGGCTATCGAAAGAACATATTCATTTTGTTTAGTGATCATGAATTTTAAGAGTCATGACGGAGAGCTTGGGACTAAACCCATGATTTTCTGCTCAGTAAGCAAAATCGATCCCTCCAGGGTCATCGAGCACCTCATAATCCACAGCGCTTCGCGTCAAAGTACGAATATATGGATTATATTATTGAATAACTATTATTTACGATAATTACATGAAAGAAATAAAATATAAACTACAAACAAAACGTGACTACTAAAATCTCAAAAAGATATTCTCACAAATATATTTAACGCAACCAGGAATTTTAAAACCATTAGACGCTATAATGATACTCTGCACATGTTAGACAAAAGAAGAGGCCAAAAAGCAAGCGTCCGACACAAAACCCGCCAAATCCACTTGCAGTCACAATCAACGATTCTACGAATCGCGAGCGCTCACGAATCATAAAACCGCCGACTGCGGCACTCTGAAATCGAAATTGACAGGCTCTATGCGTCAAACACCCGCCCTCCAACCTCCTCCCGCATCCAACATCACAAATCTCCATTACAACATCTAACGAATTCAAAACTCCGAAAATCACTCATCTATAGCAAGTGAGTGGAAGCAACCCTGCATGCAATCATTCTTCATGATACACTTTTTCTGCCTATCTTTCTATTGGGCCTGCGGACATGCGTTAGCTTCGAAACTTCTAACCAAAATGGGAAAATTTTCAGATCACAAAAAAAAAACTTGGAAAAAAAAACTTTCAAAGATAATTACAAGTAAAATAAATATTGATTATTTAACGCAAAAACGAGCAAGTAATATTAAATCTCTTGTATCATATGCTAATGCTAATTGACTGTAACACAAATAATATGCTTAAATAAAATAAAATATTAATAAAATGATATGCAAAATTTACTAGAAGATCATTACTTTATTGGTGAGATGTTTTTAATAAGCCCTCCCAATTCCTCTGTATACAGAACAAATCTGATACTATAATCAGAATTGCTCAGTCTGCATGAAGCAGCCGATTTCATCAAGGAAGTTCTATTAACAACCAAGAATTAATCGTTTGAGGCATACTGAAGCATTAAGAAGGTGATATGTGTTACTATAGGAAATCATCATCGTTGCAAATATAAAGAAATTAAACATAACCCTTTGCTTCAGTACCGTCAACCTCCATGTCCATGTCAGCCTCAGCGTGCTCAACAAAAACTCTTCAGACCCACCATGATCACAGATAAAGGGAACTTTAAACTACAAAAAAATCACTGAAGACATCAAACGTCTAAAACCAGAAACAAAAGCACTTGGATGACTATCTTGACGTTCCCACTCGATCTCAACATGTGAAAATTGTGCGCTCGACAAATAACAGCATGAACGAACGGCGCCGGTGGTGTAGTGGTAAGCGTGATTACCTCTCACCCCAGCAGGCCTGGGTTCAATCCCAGTCGGCGCCGCTGGGATGTTCTGAGGCATAACATCTCTGATCACGCCTTCCTTCGGATGGGAAGTAAAGCCGTTGGTCCCCGGTTCATGAGTTGATGGCTCGATAGGTAGGGTCCAGGTGTGGGAGCTGTCTTCCTGGCACGTCGGTAGCATTGGTGCTCAGCACGGAAAAC